TCATCTTTCTCCCGCGGAACAGCTGGTAGTTTTGAACTGCTGACCTTAAGGTTTGCAGCCCGATTCGTAACCACTACGCTACCAGAGCTCCTTTAGGAGACCCGAAACAAGAAAGTGTTGAGTTCCAAATGTCCACACACAGCCCAGAATGTGTGCTGTGTGTCCCCATGTGGGAAGAGGATAAAGGCATTGTAACTTCCAGAGTGCCTCTGTCGCATATCAAGGTTGATAACCCAGGAAAGACAGGTACCTAGAATATGCAGCTTCTTAGAGACAGGAACTAGGACTGAGGCTGCCAGGGGCTGGGGGAAGAGGCAAATGGGGAGTTGTTCTTGAATGGATACAGAATTTGGATTGGTAAAACATCTCGGTGGTGGTCACACAACAGAATAAATGTACTTATGCGTGATTGAATCATGCACTCAGAATGATTAAAGTGGTAAGTTCTATGTTGTGTATTTTACCACAGGATCCCCAGTGGTGTAGGCATTAAGTGCTTTACTGCTAACTGAGAGGTCAGCAGTTCTAACCCACCAGCCGCTCCGTGGGCCGTCTGCTTCCATAAAGATTGACAGTCTTGGGAACCCCGTGGGCTAATTCTCTTCCGGCGTGTGTTGTTCCCATGAGTTGGCATCAGCTCGATGGCAGTATGATGAAAAAAAAGTGTTCATGAGAACCCAGGCTGCTGGCACCCCAAGCCTTGCTCCCCACTCCTCCCTGTCCTCTGTCTGCCTTTTCCTCATAAGCCCCCTCCATCCCACGGGCCGCGAGGTGGTGAGTTGGACAAAGGTAGTGGAGGAGTCTGAATCAGGTGGGGGTGGTGGTGGTGTTAGTCCCAGGGGCCCTTGGGGCAAATCTGGCACAGGCCATGTCACCAAGGGGCAGAGCGGCGGAGGACCCTAAGCATGAAGGGCTCATTGTTAAGCAAGGCCACAATGGGTCTCCCCTCGGAAGGCAAGGCCCCAGGGGGAATCTCATGTGGGGACTCTGCAGTTTCTGTCTCTTTGTTTTAATCAGCTTATTTTTAATTTTCTTGATTTTATAATAAAAGTTTTCAGTAGAATCTTAGTAAGAACTATATTAAAGATTTGAAACTTGTTTTTAGGCACCTTAACACCATATTCAACCATGCGGTAGTCCTAAAAAATGCTTTTCACACTAACAATAAATTTCACCACTAGGAAAAACCAGCTAAAGTTTTTGCCAGTTCAAGTTTAAGATTACATTCAACATTCTGTGTAGTTTCAGTCAGGGACATTAAGACCTTTAGAAAATTAGCTAAAATGCAATTGAGGGCTAAGGGAATAGTAATAGATCATAAGCAGAAATTTAACTAGATGTTTTGTGTAGAGAAGTTTTTATAAAGAAGTTGTTCCGTTTCTTCTTAACTACAAAACTTTAAAAGCTTCTTGTGTTTTCTTGTTTAATCAATCATGAGAAACAACTGTGTTGTCAGTTACCATAGCAAATAATGTTTAGGTACATGTTGTGATTAATGAATCTATAGAATATAATAGATGAAGGCAGAAATAGGAGTTAAGATTTAGAATTATGTTTTAAGGTTAACCTGACATTTTAGGATGTCAGAAAGATTCAGGTATTTTAACAAGATCATTTGTGTAATGCTTCAAAGAAATTGATTGTGTATGAGATCATTGTACACTATGAGATTTTAACGGTATATAAGGAGCTGAAAAAAATTAAGTAAAATAGTCATCATCATCATCATCAGAATTTAGCACAAATCATCGACTCCGTGTGATTTTTTTTTTTTCTTCAGCCGACTCCACACATCCCTTCATGAGCCCCCCTAATAAGTGTGTTGGGGCTGGCCCCCGGCACAAATCCCTGCTCTGGGGGTGGTGGTGGACACTTCTCTTCCATTCCTCATGCACACATAAGTGCGTTCAGCCCCGGCACAGTGACCTCACCTGGCCTGAATACTCCAGTCAGGGGGGACACCTGAGGCCATTTGAAGGGGCAGCTCACCCTTGTATTCGCTTAGGGAAGGGAACCAGAGCCCCTACATGCCTTCTCAGGGGTCACCTTTTTGTGACCACAGGGTCATAGCCTGCTAAGGAGACTTGTCCAGCATCTCAGGGATGTGGGGACAGCTAAGCCGGGGCTCAGAGCCACCTCCAGCTCCAGGTCCTCAGGGTCAGCCGAGGCCTCAGACAGCACAGAGCTTGCAGGGGCTGGGCGGGGCCCTTGGGCACAGACAGGCTGGTGCTAGGACCCATTGGGGAGCATAGGAATGCTGGGCTGGTGGGCTTCTCACTCTTGAATGGCGATACCCATCTGTGGGTTCAGAGTGCACCCGACCAGCATAGTGCATAGCATTGCTGCCCATGTACCCTGCTCCCAGCTGGCTCTCCGGCCTTTTCCCGCCTCGCCTCTCCCTCCGGGAGGCTCTGGTGTCTGACAGATCCCCATCCAGTGGCCCTTGTCCAGGTACGCTGTGCCATCTAGGATGTCAGCAGCTCAGGACCTGGGCTGCTGGGCTGTTCCCGGCATCGGCAGCACCAGGCCGGGCACTGGGAGACTGGAGGGAACTGGCAGATGGAGGCCTAGGGGTCTCCATGCCAGGTGACTCAGCTCAGATTATCCTGAGAGCTGGGGCGGGGTCACCCAACCCAGGATCCCAGCCAGTCCCAGTGGCCACCTACCCGGCCTCTCTTCTCCCTGCAGAAACAGTGAGAACACGCAGCCAGCCAGGCAACAGTTTGCATTGGGTGCTTACGGCATGCCTAGTATGTGTTCCCCGTGTCTGCACTGAAATTGTGGTGGAGACAAGGTATCCCAGGCATGGGGACAGCAGGCCTGACCTGTCCACTCCCTTCCTGTCCTCAGCAGCCTTTACTGGCCCCGGACACCAGCCCTGCAGTGCCCCCCAGAGCCAGCTCGACACCAGTGTTTCCTATCACGTCACGTGCGCACGTTGGCTGTGGGGCTGTGTGTGCGCGGTCGCAGGTGCCGTCAGTGTTGGCACGAAGGCCAAGGGTCTCTGAGAGGTTTCCTTAGGTGTTGTTCCCCTTGTGTTTATCCCTCCCCATTTGCCCTCTGGTCCTTGTCCGTCTGTCCTCTACTGGCCTTTCTTTTCTCCCTGCCCCATTTCCCTCTTGTTCCCCACGCCTCTTTTGTGTCTGTCAGTCTGTCCCTTACCCCTGTCTGCCCATTTGTCTTCTGTTAGTCTCTCTCTGTGTCTCTGTAACCCCCTCAAGTCTGTCAGTCTCTCCTTTACCCTCATCTGTCCATTCTCTCTGTCTGTCCTGTTGGTGTCTCTCTCTCTCTGACTCTGTCCCCTCTGCTCCCTTCGTGTCTGTCAGTCTGTCCCTTACCCCAGCTGCCCATTATGTCTGTCTGTCCTGTTGGTGTCTGTCTCTGTCCCTTCTGCCCACTTCGTGTCTGTCAGTCTGTCCCTTACCCCAGCTGCCCATTCTGTCTTTTTGTCCTGTTGGTGTCTCTCTGTCCCCCTGTCCCCTTCGTGTCTGTCAGTCTGTCCTTACCCCAGCTGCCCATTCTGTCTGTCTGTCTGTTGGTGTCTCTCTCTCTGTCTCTGTTCCCCTGCCCACTTCGTGTCTGTCAGTCCGTCCCTTACCCCAGCCACCCGTTTTCTCTGAGTTCCCCGCACCCCGCCTGGAGCTGTCCCTGGGCTCTGGCCCCTGCAGTATTGATGGCCCATCAGGTCTGCCCTGGTTCCTGCGCCTTCAGTTAAAAGGGTTCTGTTGTTGTAGCTTATGCAGTTGCTCTGTTACTATGGAAACGTGACATCAAAATGACGTTTCCCGTTTAAAAGCTTTTAACTAAATTCCTGCCTGTCAGACGTAGGCCCCATTTTGAGTGCAGAGCCGCCTTCGAGCCCAGCGCCCACAGCCGCTTGCCGGCTGCCCATGGTGGGCAGAACCTCGGGCCCGGGGGCCGGGGGCGGGGGCCCGGCCTGAGTCTGTCTTTTAACCCCGCAGGTACCTCCACCATGGCAGCGGCCGAAATGCCCGGCTATCTTGTGTCCCCCCAGACGGAGAAGCACCGGCGGGCTCGCAATTGGACGGACGCCGAGATGCGCGGCCTCATGCTTGTCTGGGAAGAGTTCTTCGACGAGCTCAAGCAGACCAAACGCAATGCCAAGGTGTACGAGAAGATGGCCAGCAAGCTCTTCGAGATGACTGGCGAGCGGCGGCTGGGCGAGGAGATCAAGATCAAGATCACCAACATGACCTTCCAGTACAGGTGGGATGTCCGCTGTGGACTGGTCAGTACAGGTGGGGACAGTGTGAGGCTGGCACAGGTGGGGCATCCATTGTGGACTGGCCAGTACAGGTGGGGCCAGGGCAAGGCCGGCACAGGTGGGGCGTCTGCTGTGGGCTGGTCAGCACCAATGTGGGGACAGGACGAGGCCAGTACAGGTGGCACATCTGTTGTGGTCACATGGCACTGACCCAGGTGAGGCCTGGACAAGTAGGGCGTCTCCATGGTCAGGAAGCAGCCCCAGGACAGAGGTGGGACCCCACTAGTGTGTAGTCAGGAAGGGTGGGGATCCCCAGGGCTTGCAGGAGATGACCCTAAAGAAGAAGCCCTTTGCACAGGTTCCCATGGTGGAGGTGGGGAGAGAGGCCAGCGAGTGCAGAAAGCAGCTCAGGAGGATCATGGTGGAGGGCTGGGCTGGTCCTGGTGCTGCCCAAGGAGCCCCATAGCTCCCCATCCGGGATACTGCTAAAGTGGAGGTGCTACAGATAGGCCCCATACCCCCACCCATAGCTGGAGACTACAGACCATCACCCAAGGTTGGCTTTGCCCACCTCACCACCAGAGGTGTGAGCCCCACTATACCTTCAAGGAAACTGAGGCTGTGGAGGTGCTGGCTGCTCTGAGGGGGTGTGTCTCCATCTCTCAATATCACGGGGCACAGGATACCCCCAGTCAGCTCACAGAAGGGTCATGTGAAAGGAGGAGGTGGGGACCCTCTTGCTCCTCGGACTTCCCACCAGAGGCCATTTGGGTCTGGACCAGGGAGGGTGCAGCTGCGCCCCCACACAGCCCATGCCTCCAAGTGCACTGGACCCAGGCCCATCTAGAGAAGGGGTAGTGTGGAGGGGTCGTGAGGGCAGAGAGGGGTCATGAGAATGGGGAGGAATCCTAAGTGTGGAGAGTTCATGAAGGGGTGCAGGAGGAGTTGTGAGGGAACATGGATCCTGAGGTCGCAGAGGAGTCACGAGGCATAGGGGTCATGAGGACATAGAGGGGTCACAAGGGCTCAGAGAGGTCATGAGGGCACAGAGGGTCACAAGTGTGGAGGGCTCATGAACGTGGGATTGTTATGTTCATGGCAGGACTGAGGGGCAGAGGGTGGAGGTTAGGAGGTCAGGACTAGGTGTCTGTCCTGTGCCAACCTCCCAGCGGGGGCCTGCCTGGCACCTCATGTCATTTTGTCCTCGAAGCTCCCAAGGGGAAACCGAGTTGGGAAGGGAACTGACCAAGGCTTCTGTTTCCCCCTCGCCCCTGCCGCCTCCGCCAGAGCGTTCGAGAGCCGATGTTCCCATATTGCTTCACGAGCACTATTTATAGACCAAGGGTCTCAGACTGAGACAGGTGGACAGGGTTGCTGAGTATGGTTCGGGGCCTCCAGAGCTGGGGACAGCCTTTCCCTGTGTTAACTCAGTGTGGACCAGCAGTAGCAGTCCCAGTGTGGCCATCTGAGCATAGACCCCTGCTGCCTTCACCCAAGACTGATTGATGCATGTGTGGTTGACGCGCACTCCTGCCCCGTGTGTGGTGAGAGGTGGGGGGTGGTGGTGGTGGTGGACACGGACTGTTTGCTGGACACGAGACCTCGCTCTCTTAATCCCTCCTGTGGTCACACCAGGGGCTAACCTTGATTTTCCATCCCGGTACTGATACAAAATCTGAGACCCAGAGAGGTTAAGGAACATGGCCAAGGTCACACAGTGAGTGGCGGAGCCGAGATACAGACTCAGACCTGCTGGATGAGAAAGCCTGCGCTTAACCCCTGCTGCCCTCGGCCCTGAGGGGGCCTCCTCAGTCAAAGTTTGACAGCATCGTAGTCTGTCTATTATTATAAAAACAAAATCCTGACCCAGTCAGTGTCTTCGCTTCTGACTCCTGCAGGGAGGACAGAGCTGCCCCCAGAGATTCCCAAGGCTGAAAACCTTCAGGGGAGAAGACTAGCATGGCTGTTTCCCACAGAGCGACTGGTAGAGTCGAACCGTTGACCTTTCAGTTAGCAGTTACCCACTAGGCCACAAGGGCTCCTTGTTTATGATTGGATTTGCATCAATTAGCCTATCTTTTTACATGATAACAGCTAACTGTTGCTGGTTCACTTGTTTTAAAAACGGTAGTATCTGGGCCTTTACAGAGAGTTGAGAAATGACAGAGAATAACAGGAAAAGCATCAGCAACCCGCCTGAGCCCCCACATTTAAACATAACCTCATTGATTGTTGGGGCATCCACTCCCTTGCTTTCTCCCCCCTGAAGCCTGGCTTCTCCTGAAGCCCACTCAGCCCTACCCCTGGCCCGGCCCCCTCTGTCTCTCACTCTTGTGTCTCTCGTTTCAGGAAATTAAAATGCTTGACAGATAGCGAGTCCGTCCCGCCCGACTGGCCTTATTTCCTAACCATTGATAGGATCCTGGCCAAGGCTCCCGAGTCCTGTGACGGGAAACTGCCCGACAGCCAGCAGCCGGGGCCCTCCACATCCCAGACTGAGGTGTCCCTGTCGCCGTCCGCTAAGTCCACCCCCCTGTACATACCGTACAGCCAGTTTTCCTACGAAGGCCGCTGCGAGGACCACAGCTCCGACACCTCTTCCAGCTTACTATCCCTTAAGCTCAGGTGTGTGCCAACCCCCTGGCCGGGCGGGCCCTCGAGGGCGGTGGCTGCCGCTGGCCACTCGGGACTGCTGGGTAACAGCGTGGACTTCAGTCAGCAGGTTCATGTACCTCTCGGCTCTGTCACTCCCAAATTCCCTGACCTCTCTGGGCCTCAGTCACCACTCTGGTAACATGTGGCTAGCCAGGGAATCGCCTCAGAGCGCAGCTGGGCGTATTGAGGGAGAGGACACGCAGGAGTCCCTGGCCCGGGTGAAGCCAGGTCACGGGGCCATGCACCTAACCCCATTGCACTCCTGCCTGCCTTCAGTTCCTGGGCCTCCAGCCCACAACAGATCCTACCCTTGTGGGGCTTGCAAGGAGGATGTCCTCATAACCTCGGCTGGCTGTCCTCAAATCAATCCCACCCTGCATGTGACTCTGCCCCAGCTCCAGTGGAGGGGGCATCTGGGACGGGCTTTCAAGGGTGTGTAGAAGCTGGCCAGTCGGAGGCCAGATCAGGAAGGTCGTGGGTCTAAGTCATGTCCACTCACCTGTATGCCTGTCTCCCAGCCCGCCCCATCTGCTGGGGTGTTGTTCAGAACTGGGAGGTGAGACCACTATCTCCCTGAACTCTGAGGTGGGCTGGGTCACCCTGCTCTGCTCAGGAGCACAGGCCTGGGACTGAGGAGCAGGTGATTATTGGGAGGGTCTTGGGGTCCTGATTCAGCTCTGGCTCCAGTGTCCCACAGGGCTCTGGGAACTCGGCTGGTAGACTCCAGTTAGACTTAGTTCTCCAGTGCTGACATCACAGACATACTGCAGCGGGAGGCTTTGGTAGGTGTATTCTCTCGTACTTTAGGAGCTAGGTGTTCAAATTCAAAATACCACCTCTAGGGGAAGGCTCTGTCTCTCTGTCGGCGCTGTTTCTTGTCTCCTTTTGACATCTGCGGATCCAGTGTTCCTTGGTGATCTCCAGGTAGCTTGGCATCAGTCTTCCCCTGAGCCTGGGAGGTTCTCAGCACAGGCACTCTGGGTCCAAAAGACCCTCTCTGTTCCTGATTCTTCTTTCTTGGTGGTACCAAGGTTCCTCTTCTCTGCATGTTTCTCTCTCCTTGTATCTCTTCTAAGATCCAAGGGGATGTAGGCCACACCTAGGGAAGCTCAGGGTTGTATCCTGAGTAAGGATGTGGCCTCCCACCCCAGTCCTACCTCAGTCACAAAAACCACTGACCCTGTGGTTCAAGCTGAGCTTGCAGGGCAGCTCATTAACCCGTAGCACCACACCAGAGCGCCCATTAACACGTAGCGGTCAGGACTTTTAATATGTCAGATTACACACTAGAGGGATGTCACATAATCCTAGGAATCATGGCCTAGCCTTGCTGACACATATTTTGGGGGACACAATGTGATCCACAACAATTGGAAATATCATTATCCCAACAAAGAAATGCAGAGTGGACACCACCATGTTGACCCTCCGCTCTGCTGGTTAGTGTCATGCTGCAAGGGGATAGAAGTGTCCGCAACCCCAGGATGAGCATGACTGGGGCCTCAGTTTCCCCATCGTCCCAGGACTGGGGGGACTGGGTGGCCTCTGGCTTCCCTAGAGGAGCCCAAATTCTACTCTGCCCAGTGGCCCCCCACCACCCCGGAGCTCCCGGCTGGGACACTAGTCCTATCTGGTCCCGCCTGCTGGCTCAGGTCCTGGGGTGCTCATGGCAGGCATGCTGGGTGGTGGCACCTCAGGCCTCCTCCGCCCTCTGGAGCTGTCCTGTGACCCCAGGTCCCATAGTGGCAGCTAGTCCCAGAGGGAGTCAGGATCGTGGCTCCCGTGTGCTACCATCGGGTGGGTGGGTGCTGACTAGACCCTCCTCTCATACCTGGGCCGTGAGGCCATGAGTGAGGGTCTGGGAGAGGTCAGTTGGGGCCACCTCGAAGGCAGCTGATGCGTGTGTTTCTCACAGCTGGCATATGGTTGTCTCTGACTGCGTGCACACGTGAGTCAAAGGCCGGCACTCTTGTGTCTCACACCAGCACCTACGTGTCTCAGGCGGTATGCACATGTCTCATGCTGGTTCTCACATGTTAGACCGGTGCACTTGTGTCTCGTGGCCATTGCACACATGCTAGACCAGCACACGCATGTCTCACACCTCCGTACTGTGCCCTTGCAGGTCGGAGGAGCGGCCGGCGGCCAAGAAGCGCAAGGTGCGGGGCTGCCCATTGCAGAAGAAGAAGCTGAGGCTGCTGGAGGCCATGCTGGAGGAACAGCGCAAGCTGAGCCGCGCCGTGGAGCAGACGTGCCAGGAGGTGCGCCGCGTGCTCGACCAGCACAACCTGCTGCAGGTTCAGAGCCTGCAGCTGCAGGAGCGCATGATGAGCCTGCTAGAGAAGATCATCGCCAAGTCCACCGGCTAGGCCGCCGCGCCCACTGGGGGCTCCACACCGAGGCTGTCCTCCAGGCCCGCCACAGGACAACCACCTCACGTGGCTCTGAGAGAACTGCGTCTGGATGCAAGGCTCATGCTGGGCAGCCTGTCCATCCTGACCGTGGAAGCAGGTGGCTGTGGGTCAGTGTGGTTCACACAAGTGACAAACTCTCTCTGGGACAGTCGTGTTCTTCCTCCCGGGGGGTCCTTGGCCCTCAGTGTTGGGAGACAGTCGTGTTCTTCCTTCCAGGGGTCCCTGGTTCTCAGTATTGGGGGACAGTCATGTTCTTCCTCCTGGGGGTCCCTGGCTCTCAGTGTTGGGGGACAGTTGTGTTCTTCCTCTTGGGTGTCCCTGGACCTCACGGGGCAGGGAACTGTGATGTTCCTCACAGGGGTCCCTGGTCCTCAGTGTTGGGGGACAGTTTTCTTCCTCTTGGGGGTCCCTGGTCTTCAGTGGGAGGAGGACTGTCATGTTCCTCCTGGAGGGTCCCTGGTCCTCAGTAACAGGGGAACTGTCATGTTCTTCATCCCGGGGGTGTCCCTGGTCCTCTGTGGGGTATGGACGGTCATGTTATTCCTCCCAGGGGGTCCCTGGTCCTCTGTGGGGTATGGGCGGTCATATTATTCCTCCTGGGGGGGGTCCCTGGCCCTCAGTAACAGGGGATCTATCATGTTTTCCTTTCAGGGCTCCCTGGCCCCGAGCACAGATCTCAGAGAAGCCCCTTGGCCTTTCCTTATCCCATTTGGGGGCCCTGGGGGCCCCGCTGCCTCCTTGGTAAACACACTAATAAAGGACTACCACCCTGCTCCCGGGAGCCACCCTCAGCCACTCTTTGAGCACTGGGGATGAAGGGTCTATACCAGCCAGCTTGCCTCATGCCAGCTGCCACACATCTGTCCATGGAGGTCTCGGAAGAGCTTCAGACTGGGATGGTGTTGCTGTCTGCTGAAAATCAGCCCGTGAAAACTCGGTGCATCATTAGGGTCCACTCAGTCCCATTGTCTGTGGGGTGACCAGGAACTGGGGCCGACTCACAGGCTACTAACGATGGCAGCAAGCACCCCCTGCTCACAATCACCTGCCCTGGTTGGGGGAGAATTAAGCAGAAGCATGCTGGAGTGATGCTGCAGAGTAAGCAATGGACTGCGAACCACAAGGCTGATGGTTCAACTCCACCAGCTGCTGCTCAGAAACCCTATACGGGGTCACTATGAGTCAGAACTGACTAGATGGCACATCCTAACAACCACATGCCGGACTGGGGGTCCGCGGGCAGAGTCCCCAGGCCAAGGGCCTGCTTCCGTGAGAAGCGTTGCTTTTCCTGGCTCCTGAGGCTTTGGAGCCAACACCACGGGCCAAGGCAGTGGGAGGATTCTTTCCAGAAGCCCCTCCACTGAGTTCTGCTCAAGGCTCCCAGCTGTGGTCACCCTGGCAGCAGAGGAGGTGGGAGCAGGGGTCCAATGCTCCCCCTGAGGCTCGGCCACTTGCCCAAACAGATCAGGTGTCTGTGATGCACAGGAGGGGGTGGGGTTCAGCCCAGGAAGGCTGGAGGGGAAGCTGGAGAGCAGGTGACTTTGGCTAGGGGGTCAGAAAATGCCCTTTGTATATGGGTTGTTGTTGTTGTTGTTATGTGCCGAGGAGTAGGTTCCGACTCATAGCGACCATACACAGGGTTTCCAAGGCTGTAAATCTTTACGGGAGCAGAACGCCTCATCTTTCTCCCGCGGACCGCTGGGAGTTTTGAACTGCTGACCTTGAGGTTAGCAGCCCGATCTGTAACCACTACATTACCAGAGCTCCTTGGATATGGGTTGAGTGGTCCTGCCAGGAGGCTGCCCGCCGGCTCATCTGATCCATGGGCAGCAGTCCTTTCTGTGCCAGGGGGTCCCGGGGTCCTGTGGTACTCGGGGTCCATGGTCATCTGGACTGGCCGCTCTCAGGGTCCTGGGAACCCCTGCCCCTCCTCCAGAACACACTGCGGGGTGGTCACAAGCTGCCTTCCCAGGGTACATGAACTGTTCTCCAGGGTGTATGGCATGTGGATGTGAGCTGTTACCGGAGTATTCAGGATGTGAACACAAACCGTTTTGTTAAAGGATTAAAGGCCTTTGTGTGTCTGGTCATCGTGGAGCAGCGGCTTTCCCAGGTGGCCAGGGCCCTGACGCCAAGTGTGTGCCAAGTTCTGCGCTGTGAATACAACCCCCATGGCCAGCTACGGCCAGTCGCCTCCATGACGACGCTAAATCTGTGGTTTGTTTCAGAGACGCACAGTCAGGCTCCGTGAGCCGGTGTAAGCCGGTGCCAGCACACCCATCGTTGGGAGATGCGGGGCGCCCGGAAGGCCTCCAGGAGTGGGCGTTTCAGGGACTTGTCCCAGCTCATTTCTAGGTCAGGTGCCGTCCTGCCTCAGACGGAATGTCGCCGTGAGCGTTCACTTCTCTAACAAACGTGCTGGATTCCTGTTGCGTGTCTGTGCTGCTCTGGAAGGGGACCCAGCCGCGGACACAGTGGTCCCTCGGGGAGCTGACTGGCCAGGTCGCCACCTGTCGGAGAGGTGGGCTCACTGCACACATGGGCCTCACCCGGAGATTCCTCATCCCTCCAGCAGAGGGAGCCATTGGCACCTGGGACTCGTTATCATTGGAGTCTGGTGCAGAACAAAGCTGGAGGAGAGGCTGAAGGCTGACCCTGGGCGGGGCTGCGTGACCCTCATCCGGGTCGGTCAGGAGACCCCCGCGAGGGCTAACAGTCTGAGGCTCTGACTTGCAGCCCATTCCCTCACTTGGCAACATGTTTGAGTGGCTAGAATCGATCACACTCTTGTCACGGTGCATTGTCCTCGCAGGAACTGCCTTGTTTGTACAATCTTCTATTCGGCAACATGGCGTTTGTATTGGAAATGAATCCGATCTATTTCCTTCTCCTCCCCTTTCAGTCTGATTTAATGGTTAATGATAGTTCAGCTTCCTTTATTGAATTGGGGGCTGGGG